GGTCCAGGTAGATTGCTCAAGTGGCAAATCTTGTCACTGTCTTTTTTTATGTGTAATTCACAGAAAGTTCCATACTTCAAGTTTTCATCACATCCTTGATCTGGCAGGTACTCCACAAGTCCCCAAGATCACTGGGATATGAAAAGCATCCCAATGTCACAGGTGGATGCAGGAGAAAAAAAATTCCTGCAAACACCTATGGAAACTCAAGTCCTGTGTCAATATTTTTAGACCCATCCAAGGAGAACCTCTGGGTGACCAAAGTGTTGCAAATCAGAAAACCTAACTACGATATGAAACTTCCAGATTTGGCCTGTGTAGGACAGTGGTTTTAAGGGTCAACACTTAAAAAGCTCTGAGTAGGCTTGGGCAAGATGACTCAGAATAAAATTGTGCCAAGAACTTGAAGGGTAAAATAGTGTTCAAAGCCCAACTCCTTTGACTTTCCCTTCCACTTCAGTCTTAGCACAGATATCAGGAACAAAAGTTTCAGCCTTAATGGAATGGATGAGGAGATACAAATGCAGGAATGAGTGAGCACTGCAAGATTTCCTGGTTATTGACAGGTGTAACCTATGACAAAGCCAAACATGACAAGTAGCAGGATTGCCCACCTCCACTCCAGAAAAAAGGGTAACTCTGAAATCCATTTCCTTAGCCAAAGCAGTATCTCAGTGGAAGAAACATCACTGTGACTAGTTTTCCCACTCTCAACCCTTACGAATGTTCCACTCATGTTACTGTAAAGAAGGAAATTCACATCATGTGTTTTGATATTGCTAAGCATTGTTCAAAACATTTTGCCAAGTCCAAATGTCCCAAATCCTTTAATTTTTAGAACCTCAGCTCCACATTTCTTAATACATAAATCTAACAGGTAATGTGGTTTATAACGTGCTTTGAGAGCCTGACACCTGAGATATTGCTTTCATGTGAAAGAGGATTCAGTAAGAGCACTTCAGGCTCAGGAGAAAGACAGATTGGGTTGTGCCTTTGACACTTTCAGATGTGAGGTGGAAGCAAGTTATTTAACTTCCTTGAGCCTTAGTTTCTTCCTCTGGCAAGTAAGGAGAATATTAGTACCCATATCCCGAGGCTGCTGTGAAAATTAAATGTGATTACGTAGGTAGTGCTTAACACAGCCTGACTTAAAAAAAAAAAAAATTAAGTTCTAGTTACTTTTGCAATTAGTAATAATGGTTCAGTGATGTTGCTCCTTTTCCTATCCTTTGCTGAGATGATGGAGGCGTGCTCTAGATCTCTGATTTTGAATTATGTCCCTGTCTCACCAGAGTCTCACTGTTCTCCCATGAGTATAACCCACAACTGAAAGTCATTATGTATAAAAACCACCATTGACAGGTGTATACCCACACAACAGTGTAAAGGCGCACCAAAATTTGGAACTCTGCTCGAGACCTCTGATTTACCTCTGGACGGTCTACATTACCAGATTGGCTCAACCACTGATAAAGCTCTTAATATCCAACTCATGGTGACCCACGTGTTATAAAGCAGAACTGCTCCAAAGGTTTTTTCTTGATTATACTCTTTATGGAACCAGATCACCAAGCCTTTTTTCTCCAGCACCTCTGGGCAGGTGCACACACCAAAAACCTTTAAGTTAACAGTTAAGCAAAAAAAAAAAAAAACATTAGCCCCACACAGGGTTACAAAAGCAAATGTAAGAACTACCTGAGGAGTGTGAGTCTAAGTTTATACAGAGAAAACAAATTAATTACATTTAAGAAAAGTGCCTTCAAATGTAGATCCTTAGTATTTATAATCCACTTCCAAATTACTTGTATTACACCAAGATAACTTCCCTGGGCAAATATCAAGTTTGAAAAATGAGACTGTTTCGTTCTAGCTTACATCGTAACATCTGAGGAATTTTAAATATACATGTCTCTCTCTTTTGCTGTGGAGACAGCTGTCTCCTACAATGCTTTCCCTCCTGCATGGGTTCTCCGATGGGCACTGAAGTGAGAGCTGTTGTTGAAATCTTTGCCACACTCCGAGCACTTGTAGGGCTTCTCCCCAGTGTGAATTCTCTGGTGAATGATAAGACTGGAGCTCTGGTTAAAGCATTTCCCACACTCTCTGCACTTATAAGGCTTCTCTCCTGTGTGAATCCTCTGGTGAGTAATGAGATTAGAGCGATCACGGAAGAATTTCCCACACTCGAGGCATTTGTAGGGCTTCTCTCCTGTGTGCACTCTCTGGTGTGTGATTAGCTTGGAGCGCTCACTGAAGCATTTCCCACACTCTCCACATTTATACGGCTTCTCCCCAGTGTGGGTCCGTTGATGGTTAGCCAGAGTGGAGCTCTTGCTGAAGCTTTTCCCACATTCAATACACTCATATGGTTTCTCTCCTGTGTGGATTCTTTGGTGACTAATGAGGGCAGAGCTCTTAGAGAAGCTTCTTCCACACTCAGAACACTGATACAGTTTTTCCCCTGAGTTGGTACTATGTGGCCCAGAAGAATCTAAGATCTTACTCACACTGCTTTCACTTGGAGGTTGTTTAGGACATGTCATCTCTATGGAGTTCCTCCAGTGAGCACTGGATGAGCTTTGGCCAATTTTTTCCCCAGGACCACTACAACGATCAGGATTTCCTCCCAGGTGGATTCTCTGATGTTTCAGCAGGTTCGAACTTTGATTGAAGCTTTTAAAACATTCCCCACATTTATAGGGCTTTTCCCCTGTGTGGATTCTCTGGTGAGTGACAAGATTGGAGTGGTCACTAAAACTTTTCCCACACTCAAGGCATTTGTAGGGCTTCTCTCCAGTGTGGATTCGCTGGTGGGTATTGAGGTTGGAGCGGTCGCTAAAGCTTTTTCCACATTCGAGGCATTTGTAGGGCTTCTCACCAGTGTGAATTCTCTGGTGGGCAATAAAGTGGGAGCTCCGACTGAAGCTTTTCACACATGTGTCACACTTGTAGTGTTTCTCTCCTAGGTATAGGCCTTGATGGTCGATAAGTTTTTCTAAGTCCTCTTCAGAAGAAGATTTTTCCCACTGTTCTTGTAAAGAATTTCCCCACTGTCTTACACCTCCATTTTCATTTTCACTATCTTCCTCCCAATCATAAACTTGACAAACATCCTCTGTAGTGCATTCTGATAATGCTCCAGGCAAATCCTCAAAAACTTCCTGCTCTGAAATCTGGTCTTCATCATCATGTCTCAATTCAAAACCTGAGAGAATAAACAGAAATATAGTTTTTTAAAAAATTTGTTAGCATTTATTTATTTGATGTATTTGTATCTTATAACTTAAGGAATCTCTGGGTATCCCAAACCACAAATGGTTAAACACTTGGCTACTAGCCAAAAAGGTCAGTGGTTCAAATCCACCCAGAGGCTGCTTACAAGACAGGCTTTGTGAATGGCTCCCCAAAGGTCATGAAAACGTTACGGTTCAGTTCTACTCTGCACACATGGAGTCGCCATTGGTTAGAATTGACACAACAGCAATTAGCAACAATGACAATCCGATGTCTTGTGGATATGGTTAACCTGAACTTATATCTAAAGAACATGACTAGCATCAAATTGATCAGTTTTGATGCATACCTGTGTACTTGACCTACACAGTTTGGGACATGAGAAATGCAGTGTGAGACATGGTAACCCAACTGGGGGAGCTGTGAGACTCAGTCTGATCCTCCAGTCAGCCTCCCTGGCTGATTCCCGCATCTCACTGTTTAGTAATAAACACCTCTTTCTTCTAATCAGCAGTATTTGGTATAGTCTGTGTCACATGATATGAAGTATTCTTTGTTTTTTTTTATTTTAAAACCTCTTATTCATCTCCAGGAGTCCTGGTGTGGCACTGTGGGTTAATGCACCAGACTGCAAAGCTGTTTGAATTGCAAGGTCGGCAGTTCAAGCTCACCAGCTACTCCTCGGAAACCCTATACAGGGTTGTTATGGGTCGGAATCCACTCGACGGCACTTAACAACAACAACAACAACATAACTGATCATAAACATCCCAGTAAAATCCAAATTGAGTGGCTGCTGTGTCATTTAGGGAACACCACTAGAGACTAGATAATCAGAGCAAAGTGCAAATTGCTTTCCCACTCAGTCTCATTCTCTCTTCAGTTGGTAGCAAAAGATAATGAGCCTGTTACTTTCTCTGCAGTTACGCCAGGCTTACCAGTGTCTGGGGTTTTAGGACATGGGGTTGGAGGTTTAATAGCATCTTCATCTGCCACTTCATCCCAGGCTTCCTGGTCATCAGGCTCGGTACTGTTTTGTCCAGATCTGAGGAGACCTGCAGCATCCCTCAGAGTCCCCATAGCTCTAACTGCATTCCGTGCCCTCATCAATGAGTCCAGCTCCTCATAGAAGGGGCACGTCCCTGGTGGGTGGCTGCTCTTGGCTTTCCGGTAGCTTCGAAGGAGGTTTTTGAATCTGTAGCGACACTGCTCCAGTGTCCTCAAGAAGCCCTGTGCACATAGTCGCTCGGCAATGGCCCGGTACACCTGGCTGTTCTGGTGACAGGTACGAAGTTTTTCAGAGAATGGAGACTCGCTGAGAATTGCCAGAAAAGCTTTGGTCTCCTCGTAGCCCCAGTGCACACCTGCTGTCAGGAGTGAAGAGTTCAGAGCTGTGAGATTTAATGGGATTTACATAAGTCATCATAGGGTCACCTGATCTGCTAAATGTCTCGAATACAAGTATTTTGAAAATTGTCCAGGTGCCAGGGGGACAAGGTGGCTTAAAAAAGTTCATGGAAAAATAAAATGCAACGATAATGGAATCTTCCCACAAACTTTTTGAAGCTCCTTCATGCTCTTGCTTCCCAGAAGTGTGCTACAAAACCTCCCTCACCCACTTGTAGGAGATTCTCTTAACATTTAAGCATCTCAGATAAAGGGAAGAGCTTAGCAGGCCATCCTATAGTAAGTGACCTCTAGATTCTGCTGCCTGGTTTAAGGAAAGGTCTGCAATTAAGATCTAAGAGATCCTTTCTCTCTCTGTTCAATAACTATCCTTTATTATTTCATCTAAATCTCTACCAAAGATACACTAAAGCACCACTCACTAGATTAATTCCAAATTCCTGCTCAGTGCAAGGGTAGTCCAGGTTTCCTACCAAAGTCATGTGCTCACAAAACCATTTTTAAATATCTGTCTAGGTTATGTCTGCTTTGCTACTGAGGTATCCCCAGGTTTGTCTCACCTTATCTAATGATCTCTGGTAGTGCAATAGTTAAGCACTCAGCTGCCAACCAGAAAGTAGGCAATTCAACCCCAACAGTCTCTCTTTAGGAAACAGATGTTTCAGTCTGCTTCTGTAAAAATCTACAGCCTTGGAAACCCTTTGGGGCAGTTCTACTCTGTCCTAAAAGGTTGCCATGAGTCCGAATTTGATTTCACAGCAGTGGGTTTGTTGGTTTTTTTTTTTTTTTTTTGGTCTCATCTTATCTATCAGCCTTCTTCTACCATGTCCACAATGAGTCTACAAGAAAACTCAGAGAGACTTGGGCTCAGATTCCAATTTCACCACATCCTTGATCAACAAACTTAGAAAAGTAGTGGTGGTGATGGTTGTGTGTCGTGGCATCAGTTCCAACTCATAGAGACCCTGTATAGGCTTTCTTTGAGGTTAGCAGCCCAATTCATAACCACTATGCTACTGCTTCCACCACCCGTCTGTCAGTTTGTTGTACTGTGGTGGCTTATGACTTGCTGTGATTCCGAAAGCTGTGCCACCGGTATTTTACATACCAGCAGGATCACCCATGGTGGACAGGTTTCAGATGAGCTTCCAGACAAACACAGACTAGGAAGAAGGAGTGACGAACTACTTCTGAATATTTAGTCACTGAAAACCTTAAGAATAGCAGAGAAACACGGTCAGATATAGTGCCAGAAAATGAGCCCCACAGGTTGGAAGGCACTCAAAATATGACTGGGGAAGAGCTGCCTCCTCAAAGTAGACTTGACCATGATGACGAGAATGGAGTAAAGCCTAGGGGAAAAATACCCATGGGACCTTCATTTGCTATTGGGGCACAACTCAAAATGAAGAGAAACAGCTGTAAACATCCACTGAAAATCAGAACATGGAATGTACGAAGTATGAATCTTGGAAAATTGGAAGTTGTCAAAAATGAAATGGAACACATAAACAATGATATCTTAGGCACTAAGTGAGTGGAAATGGACTGATTGGTATTGGCATTTTGAATCTGATGACCACATGGTTTACTATGCCAGGAATGACAAATTGAAGAGGAATGGTGTCACATTCATTGTCAAAAAGAACATATCCAGATCAGTCATGAGATACAACACTGTCTGTGACAGGATAATATCCATGTCCCTACAGGGAAGACCAGTTAATACCACTATAATTCAAATTTACGCACCAATCACTAAAGCCAGTGAGGATGAAATAGAAGAACTCTACAGCTTCTTCAATCTGAAATTGATCAAACATGCCATCAAGATGTAGTGATCACTACTGGTGATTGGAATGCAAAGGTTTGGAGCAAAGAGGAGGGTTAAGTAGTTAGAAAATATGGCCTTAGTGATAAAAATGATGCTGGAGAACACATGATAGAATTCTGCAAAATCAATGATTTGTTTATTTCAAATACCTTCTGTAGACAGCATAAAAGACGACTATACACATGGACCTCACCATATGGAATACATAGAAATCAAATTGACTACATATGCAGAGAGAGATGATGGAAAAGCTCTATGTCATCATTCAAAACAAGACCAGGGGCAGACTGTGGCACAGACCATCAATTGCTCATATGCAAATTCAAACTGAAGCTGAAGAAAATGAAAACAAGTCCATAAGAGTCAAAATATGACCTTGACTATATCCCACCTAAATTTAGAGATCATCTGAAGAACAGATTTGATACATTAAACACTGAAGACCGAAGACCAGAAGAGTTGTGGGATAACTTCAAGAATACCATACATGAAGA